AATCTGAAAAGAACTTAGTCTTAAAATGGATAGGAAATACCCAGCCCTGCCAGCCTTCTAAGAGATTAGCAGCAATTTGAGACTGTGCTGTAATTAGCACTACCTGGTCCACAGGTTCCAGATAGGCATGAGACACATAGGTGGGTGAGAATACCTGGACCATAGTCCCTTCCCTTTTGCCCAAAATGCCTTTGTTCTTGACACATACCTTTGCTATGTGACTTGTTTCTCTGTAAAATCACTATTAGCCAAGCAGCTATACTCATAATTGTATAGGTTGATTTTCGTTAGACTCATGTTGCCCCACATTGTGATTTTCCTGTATAAATTACCCCTAACAAAGGCCAGCCAATCAGGACTTCACTTGGAATTCTAGGAGTTGCTTTTCTGCTTATTTCAATGAAACTCTCCTAACTTCCTCTATTGGTTCACTTCTCCATTCTTCAATGTTCTGAGGCCACAAACTCAGCACGTTTGACATCTAACAAGTTAGGCTTATATTTCTTCTATACTACTTTGTCCTTTTAGTTGACTTTTTTTTTTTTGCAATAAAAGGAGACCATATAATACTATTCATTTAAATGATTCATTAGATGACAATTGCAGAATATTAATGGCTTATAAGATGTCACTTTCAGATAATAAATATATGAATATAAAATCACAAATAAAATGAATTTTAAAAGTTAATGTAATAAAAATTTGTCAGAATTAATTCATGTAGTAGGTAACTTTCTTTTCTATTGCTTCAGTAACATGATAAAACAAAAATGCTCATGTGATACCTTAAACCTCTAATTTAATGGAAGCATTCATGTTCTATAGTAAATGGCCTTTAAAAAGTAAGATTTGTAACCTCACAGAACTCAAAGGTCCAGACACCAGAAGCAAAAGTTTTGTTAGAAAATCCTAAGGGGTTATTGTAGACAGACTTCTGTTGCTTTATCCTGATTACTGAGCCCAATATTTCTAGCTTTAAACAAAGGCACCATGTTTATCCCAACAGAACAAACTATCACTTGTCACAACTCTACATATCTTCAGAAATGTCATTAGACTATTCCACCAGCTTAACACCTTTGGGTGATTAGGAATATAAACCAGTGAAATATATAAGTAAAATTCATTGCCAAAATGTACTTGCTTTAAATTAAAAGGAGTTTTCTGAAATGAAAGTTAAACTACATCATTAGCTTGATTGGTTTGAAAGCCACCAAGGCCATTAGCAAAGCACAATGTTGTGTGTGTCTTGTGGGCACCATACCTGGTCCTTGGCCCCTTTCTCTCTGATGCTGTTCTACTGCTTTGCTTCCCAGCATTATGAGCTAAGCATCTGAACTCCACCACACACTTCCACCACAACATTTCTGCCTTGGAGCCAGCTCGTCATATAAAGAACCAAAGACAAATTAAATCTTTGTTCCTTTAAGCTGCAGTTCAAGGTATTTTGTACCAGCAATGCAAAAACTGACTGATTCACCTGGATATATGTAATAGTTCTTTTATATATTAGCATAATGGCCAGTGAAACATTCTATAAATCCAGTATTAGTAATTTTGATAAAAGCATGACCAGAAAGAAAAGCAGAGACGCATACATAGTTGTCTATTTTAGTGAGGACATAGAACTCTTTTCTTTACCATGTGAATGTTTGAATTTAACCACTCTGACATTTTATGGGATTTGTGATGGTCTTGCTCAGCATGTGGATGCTCTGTCACTGATGGAGACCAACCTGAATGGCCTGATCAACAAAGTCGTAAGTTAGCTTTCTATATTAAAGATCTGAGCCTGTCCAGGCATATATGTCTTGTCTGATGAGCCAGCGGTTGGCATGGAGAGACAGAGCCCCCTATGCCTCTGGTCTCAGTAGAGTTCTCTATGACCCATGATGCTGTGATGTCTCAGAAGGCAAAATGACATTTCAGCTGAGGACTCTCTGAATTTCACACAAAATTGTACTGAAGTAAATATTACTTCACCAAAGGAAAAAACAAGCTGCCTGTTACTACTGGTTTTATTCATACAAGAAGGCTTGGTCTCCTATAAGACCTTGATCGCGTCAGTGCCTTCCACTCTGCTGCCCCCAGGATTTCCCTAATGCCATCTATAAAGTCGTATGCACTAACAAAGAGTGACAAGTTCAGAGATTCTTGATCTTAAACCAATAAGAGCTCTGATCCTCTGAATCCCCTGGCGTTTTTAATCACTGTCACTTCTTCCTTGGTCCTTTGTTGTACCCTCACCCAGGTTATTAGAAGATCAGTCAATCATCCCTGAATAAACCATTTCTGTAGGTTTTCATTTTGTGTTTTTTGATTGTTTGGTTTGGTTTTTCTGTTGAGTTAAATTCTATGCTACCAAGTCCAGGGATATTCCTTGGTTCTACTCTCATTAATATTTTTTCCTAGTTCCTACTCTTAAATATAATCTATTAACTAAGAACAATGAGTGTGAGGGCAAGAGATAGAGACATAGGGAACAGTTCCTTTTGTCCACCTCATTAGTGAAATTTTGTTCAGCTCATTTTGCTTTCTATGAACATATTCTTTATGGAGCAAAAATGCTTTTAAGTTTTTTTTTTTTTAATTTGAAAAGAACCATTCATAATTTTCTTTCTCAGAGCACCTTGCCAAAAAATTTACCTGGTCCCTTTGAGACTATTTACCTGAACTACAAGTAAGCAATACTTGCCTTAAGAGGATGAGTCAAAAGTCAGAGTTTTGTATAGCTGAGAGGTTACAGGGGTCACAGGAGAGTGAGTCACTAAATTCCTTCAAATCCTTAGGTGAGTTGGAAAGTTCCTGTGCACAAGATAAGGCTCCAGGGAATTCTGCAAAAGGTAGAAATTAAAATGTCTACAATCTGAACAGACTTTAACAACCACCTTAGTTGGAATTCCAGGTGCCTCCTTGTTGTGGCAGGCTGGAACGTGCATGTTGCTGCTTATACAGAACACACATCTACCAGGATCATAAACTCAGCAACCTTAACAAATTAAAGATGCGGAGTATAAAATAAAGAAATATAACTTTTTTGTAAAAGGACAAATAAAAAAGACTGGCGTTATTGTGGAATAGGAAGGGTCATCCAGATTTTGCTGTCATTGTTGTTCTCAGTGGCTTTTTATTTAGGACTGGTGTTATCTCCCTTCCCGCTATGGGCACCTGACTGTCTGGTCCTCACCTGGGCACCTGTATCTACATTCTTTCTGTTCCTTTGACTACTTCCTGTATTTCTGTGATGGAAAAGTGTGAGAGCCTCACAGAGGGGCAGCTTTGTTAACCTTTTCTAATAAATTATTAGGTACCTGTGTTATCTGGTGGCTCTCTCAGTCTAGTTTCTCTATCCTCCATCTAATTCCTCAGGTATAGAGTCTAACTGCAGAGGCAGAAGCTGGTTTTAGTAAAACTCTTCATTCATTTTTACTAAAGCCTATGTTTACCTAGAAACCACCTTTCCCTACGTTATTTTATGCTAAAGTGCTAGGCAGAGTATTCATTAGGAACATGAAACTTGCTTTATGACAATAAGGTTATGTTCTAGGATTAAGAAAAGCCTAAAATAAACTATTAGTGATATATATGAACCCATGTTTAAAGCAGCATAATTTGTAATAGCTAAATCTTAGAAATAATCCAAATGCCCATAAACTGCTGAATGGATAAAAAGAGGTTTGGTATTTTTATACAATGGAGTACTACTCAGCTATAAATAAGGGTAAACTTGAGACTTTTATAGACAAATGGATACAACTTGAGACCATACTGATAAGCTCACAAATGAAATAAATCAAACTCACATGTGCAAATATCATATTTAAGATTTAAAATGTATAATAGATACTGTGAAAAATGAGAAGGACAGAGACTGCTCAAAAGTAAAAAACAACTGAGATAGGGGAAAGGATGAAAGAAAGAAGGGAAATGATTATATATATATATATATATATATATATATACACACACACACACACTCAAATGGATAGCTATCCTATTAATCTTGATTAGTTCATCAAAAAGAACAGTCTGTGTTTTCATTGTTCTATTGTAGGATCAGTTTTTCACGCCTACATCTTGTAACCTGACAACTACTTTGAAAATAACAATACACACTATATTATCCAGTGTCAATTTCTTATTATTTTGTTTTGAAATTCTGTATCATCATTTTTATTCTTTTTTTCATCTAAAATAATTAAATGATAAAACAATCAACTAAAACATTGCTGTGATCCAATAACTTCCTCCATGATGGCGGAACACTATTTAGACCAAGGTAAATAGTTTTAATTATTTTATATTATTTAACCTACAGCATTTGACATATAAAATAAAACTTATTTCGTAAGTGAAACTTACAAACTATGACCCACAATGACAAGAAAAATCAGACAATATAAGTAGACTCACAGACCAATTAGTTTAGGAATTTAAAATAGCTACACATATGTACATTCATTTCTTTTGTTGAGGTGGTTTGCCATGTTTTCTTGTCATGCTTAACTCACACCATCAAATTTAGTGGATCCCATCTCCACTCTTTACTGGGACGTGAACTGTTTACCTTCAAAGCTTTAGTGCCTTAATTTTTCTTTGTATCTCAATTAGCAGCACCGTTTTTGTATGTATTGTTATTAGGTTTTAAACTTAAGTAGAGAGATTGCACTTTGAAGACCTTTATGCTCAGACTGTGGCCCTTCCAGAGGGAGAACCATCAGCAGCTCCTGAGGTCCACATCATGTTAGAACTTAGGACGCTGGGAAACCAAGCAAGAAGCTTGTCTCCCTGGTAAGCGGCTGCGGTGAGGCAGACTGCAACCCTTCTAGGGGGAGAACCACTAGTGTCTCCTGAGATCCATGCCATGTTAGAACTTAGGAAGCTGGGAATCCAAGCAACCAGCCTGCCTCTCTGCTAAGCAGTAGTGAACCTACTGGTGCACAGCCTAGAGTCAAACATCCCACTTCCCCTACCCACTTTCTTTTGTTCCCCCTCCCTAGCAAATGGGAACCAGAAATCTGAGCATCTCCTGGGAGGTTGACCATAGCAATAAGGGGGATTTCCTTCTGCCATATTTTTGAAGGCAAGTATTTTATTACTCTTTTGCTGTATTCTGATTAATGGTACTGCTCTATTCATTATTCTGTTTAGATAAGTTCTATAATGTTCTGTATTTCATTTTATTTTGATATATGTGATTGAAAGAACTACTATTGTAAAGATAATGAAGTATACTGTGATACCTATTACTGTTATCCAGGTAACCTGCCATGAAGTTCTGTACCAATTTCACTGTATGATCATAGTTGGCTTTATTCTGTCTTGTTCTGTTGTGTTTTACTACTTTCAAAATAAAATTAAAAAAAAAAAAAAAGACCTTTATGCTCTCCGCTTCAAGGTTAAGTGCTCAGTGCAGAAGTAAATTGATAAAATTTCCTAGTGTAGCCTTTCTTTGCACTTCATTAGTTATCAGGTAGTTGTTTGTTTCTTTTGCAAATATATATGATTATTACCTGCTTTACACAAGCATTTTTTAAAAAAGTTTCGCTCTCCTTCACATACTGTGCTACAGCCAACAAGCCAGAAAATGTGATTGCTAGTTAGGACATAATTATCCCAAACTCTGCCCGCAGACATTCTTTGCTGAATGAATTTTGAATTTTCTGAATAAGCCGGTCATGTCAGAAAAAACTGAAACAACTACTAATATCTAAACATTTACAACAAAATGATCTTTATGATTTCAATAATCTTAGGACAAGTAAAAAACATTCTGGTGCCTCTCAAAAGCCTAAAAGTGAAAAATACGTTAATGCATATTTTGTATTTAAAAGCAAACTTGACACTACAGGAAAAATTCAGTAAAACTCAAATGACAATGATGTAAAAATTTATTTTTCTTACATTGGTGATGAAACAAATCCTCACTTTATGCAGCCAAAAAAAAAAAAAAAAAAAAAGGAGAGAGAGAAAAATCTAGTAAGGATTAAGTAAAGAATTCCAATGTACATTTTTCAATTCTTCTGCAGTATAAATGAACACATTTGATTAACTTTCAGTTTTAGAAGGCTACTTGTGCATATATCATATCTATATCTATATCTATCTATCTATCTATCTATATATATATATATATATATATATACTTTTGTGTTATGTTACATTGTATATTATATATTATAAACCATTCAGGAAAATCAAATAAAAGTAAATGTTTTATTGTGAGGTTTGTTGAAACAAATAAATATTACATGTTAAAATAAGTATTGTAAAATAATTTTCATGGTTTAACTAAATGTTAGATCATTGTTTAGTGTCTGAAAACATTTTGAGAGAAAAATAGCCTTTATAAAGTCTTCTATGAGATTTGCAACTGGGATTAAAATGAACAGATGGCTTGATAATGCTAACTAAAGGTAAGTCTAGAAGAACTGTTTTGTGTGTGAAATTTTAGAGAATGATTAGGTGAGTGGTGGTAAATTAACACTGGAGGAAGTAAAAATATATTTCTAAATCAAAGAGCACAATTTATGAAAACCATGTTGGTAAAAGGGGCTATTTCCCTAAAGATTTTCACTCTTTTGAAAAGTGTAAAATTATAAAATTGGAAAGGGTATAAAATGATATCACACAGCTTGTATTTGATTGTATAAATTACATAACCTGTATAAAAACTTACAGCTAAGAATTTTTAATTTTACCATTTTTCAATGTAGAAGGGTTAAATGTTGCTATGAGAATTTCAACTTTGGAATTTCTTGAGTTACATCTGCTTAATTTCTCAATCTTAATTCCAATACTTGATCTGAATGAGTACACACCATGGATACTTCTATATACTCAAGATGTTTCTAGAACATAGCATTTAACCTTTTATCTTAAAAATAATTGGAGAAAGAAGAGATGAAAACATGAAGATTAAAAATCTGTTCTGTTGATTAGTAGCAGATCTTTTTTATTAAATAGTTGGATGAGACTATGAAAAGGAAAAAACACCCACAGTAATGACAGAAGGTGGAAATGACAGAAAAACAATGATTAATTATACATGCAAAATGTGTGACAAAGCTTCACATTTCAGAGAAATGTCCCAGTGTTGCAGCTTAACAATAGCTGAATGTAAAATACAAAAATTTTATTAAATATAATTTCACCTACTTAAAACAAAGCAAAAATCCTCTTTTGAGATAATTTATATGTACAAAAAGATAGTTGCCAGAATAAGTTACAATGCTAATGATCAGTAGCCGAGTAAATTTTTAGAACACCATCATAACTCATGAAGTTTTTGGGCTAAGCAAGCAAGAACACAACAGAGGTGATTTCATGTGCACTCAAAAGTTGCTGATTTTTCAGCTGAATTGCTTATAGGACAAAAATTGGTAGAAAGGACTAGATCCTTACAGCTTTTTCTTGTTTGTAAGAGAACTTGACAAAACATGGTAGAAAGGACTAGGTCCTTACAGCTTTTTCTTGTTTGTAAGAGAACTTCATGTTTTGAGACCAGTGCTGTCTAACTGGAAATGTTGCGTTTTTGACCATTGAAGCTTATAAGACGTTACCTTCATACTAACGCAGCCATTAGAAGGAATCTTAGTACAGATGCACTTGGGAAGGACTGCATTCAAAATGTTTGATGACACCATGGGATCTTAAATCTTATTTTGCCAAATTCTTATCATGTTACACATCATCATTTTCTCTTCAGTGTTGAACATTGAAGTCATATCTGCAGCTGAGTGTGACTGATCACACTTGTAATTCCATAATCCCAGTACTCCCATGGCTGAGAAGAATTGATGCAAGTTCAATGCTAGCTTGGGCTAAAAGGTTAACTCAAAGCCAGCCTAGACATATAGCAACATACTTTGTTAAGAAAAAAAAAAAAAAAAAAAAAAAAAAAAAACAAAGAGAGGTAGAGAAAGAGAGAGAGAGAGAAAGAGAGAGAGAGAAATTCCTTTGTCTCTCCTGGTCCTAAAGTAATAGAAACATATTGAATAGGCATTGTAGAGCAAAGAATATGTGTATAAGTATGCAGGATTCTGACATTGCTCACGTGACAGGAAAATAAATATAGTCCTAAAAACTTATTTGTAATTTAAAAAATTTTTCTCTACCTTGTTCCCTAATTTTAACATGGTGTAATTTTATTGAAATTAAAAAAAAAAAAACTCTAAAAATGTGTATGTGAATATGTATATGTGCTATTTATTACAGTGAATGAAAATGAGTTTTAAATGATGAAAAAATAATTTCTGAGGGACTTTAACATCTAATATACTTAAATAGAATAGATAAATTCTGCTTTTCATTCTTAAATATTCCTTGGTCAGCAAGAGGAATTTTTTCATTGAAATAAAGTGTTATTATTTTCATGATTGCCATAACAGATATTCATTGAAGCACATATGCACTTTCAAAACAGAAATGCAGACAGATACGCTTTACCTAGATAACCTGAAGGAAAGCTATGAAATGCATGAACACATCATGATGATTCAGCATCAATTTGTCTAAACAAAATAGTGAAGTAGACACTGAGTATTGTCATGCCCTCCTTTATACTCTTTTTGAATGTCACCTCTCTCTTCAGGAGCAGGGATTGAACCCTCAAATGCCAGGTAAGTGCTGTAGCACTGAGCTGCATCTCCAGCCCATGGCTTTCAGATACTAGTTACTACTATTGTGTAGAGAGTTGCTCTTTGACTCAGCTGCTAAGCTGACCCTATTTGCTATTGGATATTACAATTTTTACTTTAAACTTTACTCTCCTTGCTTTCATTATACTCAGATTATCAAATATTAATCAAAGATGCAATCACTGAGGTAGATTTGAAAATGCGATTGTCCCAAAAGAGTTAAAGACATCATATCATAGTGATACATGCATTCCCATATCATTTGTAGCACAATTAATAGCAGTTAAATCCTTCAGAAGCTGCCTATGTATTCATCAACAAACAAATGAATAAAGAAAATATGGTATGTGTACACAATGGAGTACTATTCTGTCATAAAGAAAGATAAGCTCAACTCATTTGTAGAAAAATGGATGTACCTTGAGGCCACAATCTTAAGTGAAATACATGAGACAAACCATCTTATGTGTTGTAGCACTTATTTTTAAAGCACAAAGTCCTTGGTGAAGAATGTAAATGACATTCTATAAACAAAGACAGACAAAGGTTTTTAAGCAAGACATATGTAAGGACATTCATAATTAGGAAAATTCTGGAATAGAGTGACAATTGATTTAAATAATAAAGCATAAATAATATTAAGCTGTTCTATAATTTTGGTAACAATTAATGGAGGTCTGAAAGAAGTTAGGGGTTATGGGTAGGAATTTACATGGTAATTGATAGATAATCCAAAGGCGGACGCAGAGGAACCGTGAAGAGGGTAATGAGCTTCGTAGGTTCCACTCCTGTCCTCCGTGATGTGTGGTGGCTGGGATCCATGACGGTGGGATGTTTTGTTCTTGTTAACTACTGACTGAACATTTGCATTAAAGAATACTTGTTAAACAGTAGATCACTGGTGAAAAGATATATAATTAATTAAAATAGCTACCTTGATATCAGTGATCAAAAAATTATCTCCTTCATACTCAAAATTATATGAATTATAATCTGATTGCCTCATCTGAAGTGAATTGATTCAAATAAATACTGTCCCAAACTGTTGCCGGGTGTAGCTACAAAACCCTATTGCTACTATTTTAGATGCCATAGCATAAAAGATGTAGGTTTTTGTGTCTAATGACTGTTTTTGCTTTGAATCCTAGAAATATACATTTTTCAGTAAGGCAGAAAAAATATTTGGATTTAAGGTAAATTTTAAAACCTAAATATTAGAATTTAGTAAGTATAGCAAGAAAGATACCATGTGTTACATGAGGAATTTGATTTAAGTCAGAGGATTTGCATCATATATACAAAACTAGAATTTTTCTATATGTTTCAGGTCATATTTTCCTAACAATAATCAAGAATCAACCAGTCTCCTCAAACTTAAGGGAACTTATATCTTACGGAAATGTTTTCTTGTACTTTCGTTATCTTTTAACTAAAAACTATTACTTACAACTTTGAACAGTTATAAGAAATTTAAGAGACAGGAAGCTTCAAAGGAATTATAGCAGCGCTTCAAGTTTTAATCATTTGTTGGATCTTTTATGTTTTGATAGGCTGAAAGGCATAGTATATTACATTGTCTGATAGTTTTGACATTAAAACAAAAGCTGCCTGTGCAAGGGGAGTTTGAGTTGTTAAGCATACCAGAACCCGAAAGAGTAGCTCATGTAGTCTCTGTAGCTGTACACCTCCCCAGGGTTCCCATTTGCAGCTGTGACTTCGGCATTTGTTTCTTTGTACCTCCATCCATCCAGCCAAGCATTAATTCTTCATGTTTCAGGCATGGGCTCTTCATAGTCTCTTCATGGTCAGGATATAGTGTTAAATAAAGCAGAATGTCTGGAATCAAAAGGCCAAGAGTTTAAGTCTAAAGAGGTAGACACTTTTCATGTAACTCTGAAATCTGAAGAATATATAGATCTTCATAGTCAACATGATTTCAGTATCAATAATAACAAATCTGATCTCAGTGAAAATGGGGTTTCTGAGATTAGTTCATTCTAAACAGAATTTCTGATTCCATACTGCTCAAATACTTGTCCAAGAAGCTCTACACATTTCTAGAGCCATAGTTATTAAATCAACATTTTAACAGAAGTAAAATTGAGCAAATAAAAGAGCATTCAAATGGATGTGACCTGAAATTCCTTTAGCAAAATTCCATAATTTAAATAACATTTAGTGTCTTATGTAGAAAGTAATATGAAATTAAGAAATATAGGAAATAACTACAGTTTTCATAGATTCAAAAAATTCACCTTAAATTTAAGCCATGCTATGCTAAAAAATTTGTATTTCTTATAAAATTACTAAAATTTCAAAAACAGCCATTCAGAGTTTCATATGGTGTTATCTTTCAGAAAGTGTGTGTCAAAAGCAATGTAAGAAACAAGACAGTGGAAATCTAGTCTGTATTTTCCATAATAAAATTGTG